TGATGGCTTCATCACACTGCTGACTCATGTTCATCTTGGAGTCCACTAGGACTCCAAGATCCCTTTCTGCTTCCATTCCACCAAGCAGGTCATTCCCATAGGCTGTAGGTGTGCTGGACATTTTTCCTCCCTAGGTGCAGCACTTTGCATTTCTCCTTGTTGAACTGCATTCTGTTGTTTTGTGCCCACTTGTCCAACCTGTCCAGATCTGCTTGCAGCTGTTCCCTGCCCTCTGGCGTGTCCACATCTCCCCATAGCTTTGTGTCATCTGCAAACTTGGACAGAGTACATTTCACTCCCTCGTCCAAGTCGCTGATGAAGACATTAAAGAGTATCGGTCCAAGGACCGAACCCTGTGGGACCCCACTTCCCACACCCTTCCAGGTCAAAACCGACCCATCCACCACGACTCTCTGGGTGCGGCCCTCCAGCCAGTTCGCCACCCACCGGACTGTGTAGTCATCCAAGTCACAGCCTCTTAACTTGTTCACCAATTTGTGCACATCCTTTCTGTAGTGGGGGGCTCTGTGACAGGGCAACAAGTCTGTCCCATCACAGAACTTCGGCAGAACAATAGGAAACAGGAAACTAGGCTTGGCAATGAGTCTGAGGAGGGAAAGTGGCAGAGATACTCAGATGGAGGAGAGTAAGACCTGGATGAAAACAAAAACAAAGAGCTGTGTGGGCAGAGAGCGGAGAGAGAGTGCCAGCTGTGAGAGATGCAGGAGATGGCCAGAAAGATTTAAAAGGGAATGGAGCCTGGAATCAGTTCCTGAAAGAAGAAGAAAGAAATCCAGAAGAATTATGGAGAGACTAAAAGAGAGAAGACAGGTGGCGGAGTGAAGGGAATGGAAAAAGAAACCCAGCGAGAGACTTACCTAGGAAGTCAAAGTGAGGTGATGACGGAGACCTCTGAGTTGGTGAATTCAATACCTGGGGACATCTGGTACCTTCCCAGGGACCTAAAAGAGAAAGAAATAAGAGTGTGTGAGGATTAACCAAGGGAAGTGAACCCCTCATTTAGATATCAGTAGAAAATACAAGGTGGTACAGGATTGCCATTGTCTTGGGACCCATATGGAGAGGAATGGGGCAAGCAACCATGGAAGTGAGAGTTCCCAAAGAGATAGGGAACTAGGTTTTTCCAACATGTTGGTTGTCTAAGAAAGACATAATAACGGTGCAGAAAAGTTAGTTTGCTGAGCCGCAGATGCAATATCTTCTTTGTCTCTCAGGACTGTTTATTTCCCTACCATATTCCATCAAAGTCAGGGCAGGTGGGAAATAACAGAAATTAACTAGTTCATATTAAAATGAGAGCTATGATTTATTTATGTGGGCATAGCTAAACTCTCACAGGCTCAAAACTGAAGACAGTACTCCAGAGGTGGTCTCACTAGTTCCAAATAGAAGGGAATAATCACTTCCTTTGATCTGCTGGCAACATTCATACTAATGCAGCCCAGTATGCCATTAGCCTTCTTGGTAAGAAGAGCACACCATTGGATCATATTTAGCTTATTGTCCACTGTAATCCCTAGGTCCTTTTCTGCAGAGTTGCTGTTCCGTCCTAAGTGCAGGACTTTGTACTTGTCCTTATTGAACTTCATGGGATGCCTTTTGGTCTAATCCTCCAGTTTGTCTAGGTCTATTTGAATCCTAACCCTACACTCCAACCTGTCTACGACTCCCCCCAGCTTGGCATCGTCTGCAAACTTGATAAGGGTCTACTCCATCTCATTTTCCAGGTCTCTGATGAAGATATTGATCAAAACCAGCCCCAGGCCTGACCCCTCGGATGCTCCATTTGATATGTGGAATAACTTTGTAGCTGTTTCCTATCACACCTGTACATGTGAACAGGGGCTCCTGTGGATGGGAGCCCTGTCAGCTGATTGGAGATCCCAACTGGAGGGGATCCATGTGCACTCCTGAGCTCAGAAGCTTCCAGCAGACACTGGCTCTCAGCTGTGGGAGCACGTGCCCCTGCAGCTGGGTGTTCCATCAGTTAACAGGGCTTCCAGCTGCATGGGTGCTTCATGCATGAAACAACTCAGTGGGTGGGACACCAGCTCAACTGCCCTCTTCCTACCACAGGGACCCCTGGGACATCCCCATGACTTGGAACCTGGGTCAGCTGATGGGACTGATAATGGATGGAGAAACATCTTCCTTGTGAAGGCTGCATGGGTGGAGGAAGGAAAAGAATAGTCCTTTTACTTTTCCTGAAGGATAGGGAGAAACGTATTACGGCACTGTGGGAGGAGAGGGGAATGCAGTTAACAAAGAAAGAAGAGATACTGAGCATGGTAAAGGAATTTTACTAAAATGTATTTTAGTACCAATTTCCTCTGGGATTGGCATGGTCAGATCAGGCATGATACCGCGGGGGGTGGAGGTGGGGGGGAGGGAATCAAGATCAACAAAACACACAGAACATTTTGAGTTATCCAACGGATTCTTCCTTCCTCAAATTCTCCATGTTACCATTCTTATTTATCCGTCTCACTGAGTTGGTGCAAATGCAATACCAAAGTGTTGCATCATGGTGTCCTTGACTCTCTTTTTCAGTGTGTTAAGAGAAAAGCTTGGAAGAAAGTGAGATGCATCAGCTGGAGAAGGCATGGCCATTGGAAAAAAACTATGGGAGGCAACCTGAATCTTCAAGACAAGAAAGGCCCCAAGGGATAACAGGCTCCCAGCAGAATCTTACAAGAATTCTGGGGACATAACAGGCCAGACCTGTTAGCAGTGTTCCCAAAGTGTCAGGAGAGAGAACAGCTGGGGGCAGGTATAGACATAGGAATGATAATACTATTGTAAAAGAAAGGAGAGTGGGAAAAGATGGAGAACTGGAGGCTAATTACCTTAGTGAGTTTAGATTAAGATAATGGCCAAGATGTAAGTGAATAAATTTAAAAAAAGTCTTGGGAAAGGTGATCCACAGCAATCAGGCTTGTGCAGTCCCTGGCAGAGTAGTAACTGCAACACTGATACTAATAAGAGATTAAATTTGGTACTGTCAAGAATGAGGATTGAATGTGGTACTACTGAATCTAGATTTAGAAAAAGCATCTGACCAGGTAGAGCATGAGTTCCTTTTTGCCACTCTGAACAAGATAGAGGTCCCACCAAAGTTTCTTCATTGGGTCAAGACTTTATACAAAGGAACACAGGGTAGGCTGGACATTAATGTTTATCTAACAGAAGAAGTCAAGTTCAGATCAGGCATGATACCAGGGATATCAAGATCAACAAAAAACACAGAATATGTATGCATTATCCAATAGTTTCTTCCTTCCTTAAATTCCCTCTGTCACCATTCTTATTTATCCGTCTCAATGAGTTGGTGCAAAGGATCAGG